TTGACAGCCCATAGGTGGCTGACAAACACGTATTCCCAAATATAGGCAGGCCTACAGTACAGTAAATAGACATGTGTAGTCTGCTGTCACATTTCTTATGTTATATCGTTTTTTTCTTTTCTTCAGATGAACGTTTTGACCCAGTTATAATAGGTGAAAAACTGAGGAGTGTGGCTGATTCCTTTATTGACGATGTCCAGTTTAAAGCTGCAGTGAAAGACCTGAAGCAAGCCGCAGCACAAGAGGTACACAGACTGAAAATGCTTTATATATAATATTTGTACTTTATATGCTTTTATAATTTGTTTTACATTTTCCATTCATCTGAAGGTAGTTATTGTCCTTGCTCTGCCCGTGACACATCTTAATCAAACAATGGCATTCAGTGGATCAGAGGTTGAGGGGACAAAATGTTTGCTTTTGACTGTTGCCAAGATTTAGCAGCCAGATCACTCACACACACACACACACACACACACACACACACACACACACATATACACATATATTTTAAAATCAAACTTCTAGAAATCAATGTGTACTGCCACAAAACAATGAAAACATTATAAACTAGATCCACATTTAGTTTGAGTTTTTTTGTGTTTCCAAACTTTGAAAGGACTGGAGTATTTTGACTGTAGTCAGGACCCGTTACTATGATGTCTTAATAATTGATGGTCTTTTCCCTAGGCAATAGAAGCAGCGTTCAGCCACGGTGTGGAGGCCATTATCCACTCTCAGGTCTGTGAGAAGGCTGAAGTGGCTTTAGAGGTGCAGCTGATCAAGGCCTCAGTGGCCTTCGGACTTTATGTCTGGAAGTCATCCCCAGATTTGAAAAATAAGGTCCAGAGTGCCATGAATGCTTTCCTCAACAGGCGTGTGGGCCCATGGGTGACCCAGCAAGGCGGATGGGTATGAAGTCATTTTTATTTTTTCTGAATTTAGATTACTACTTGCTCAGGTCAGTACAGGTGGAAAACTACAATATCAAAAGGTAATGGAGACTGAGATAAGATGTAAATTGTTGCAAGGGTCAAGTTTTTGGACTATTGCACTTTCTATTTGAACCTCATGAGTGTTCATATTTATGACATCAATATTTTAAACCGAACACAACGCACAGATTACAATTATGTGGGTTGATTATTGTGTGTTTTTCAGTCACGTAGTTTTACTCAACCATTAAGCCTGATAATCAAATTACAGAAGTTCAACTGCATTGTGCCCTCGTGGTTACCGAGCTGGTATTACACCACTTCCTCGAAGGCTTTTGATTCTCGTAAAATGAAACTGCCCTAAACTCGTTTATCCAGCTGCATTAGAAACAGCAGACTAACTCATAAAAGCACTGCTGGAATTTTAACCACGCTCTGGTGCACCAAAGTTATCTACTTTTTAAAACTGCATTTCCTGGATGATATTTCTTTATATCACCTGTATCTGAACATACTGCTATCAAAACAATATTTTTCTTTGGTTTGAATGTCTAATCAGCGTATATGCTAGGTCATTAGAAAAAGTAGGTCATTAAAAAAACAGATGAATGAATCTCCAGTATAACATGCATTTGTATCCTGCATAGTTCTGCAGCAATTTTTTACTTGATTATGCTGTAAAAGCAACTTTTAGTATATATTTTCAGTTTGGACTTTAGTGTTTTGTTATGTTTTATGCATTTAAAACAATGCAGTTAAAGGAGCTGCAATCGGTACATTGTCGTTCTGTTTTAAGTCCCATGTCAATTTTGTTCTGAGAGACTGGATTATTTAGCAAACTGTAATTTTGTGTTTGTTTCAGGACCGAGTGAGCGTTTGAGACTGAATTGTGCCGAACCAGCCTCCCTGGGATGGATTATGCCAACCTGAACAACACTATTCACTAGATGACCTTGTGGAGGCATTATATCATTCTGCAATCTGTCTTCAGGGTTTTTTCAATCACACAGACCAACACCTGAAAACCTTCTAAATCCCTTCCTTAGAATTTCAGTTTCTGTTTAAGACAATCTGACCTTAACATCATGTGCTACGGAATTCCACGCCCTAGGTTAATGCAATCATGTGTTTTTTACGGGTGTTGATCAAAGGGATGCCAGCTGTCGATAGACTTAGTTTCACTTCCTACTGATATTGGTTCATTGGTGAGGAAATAAAATGAGCCACTTGAAATTTCAGGTAATTTATTATAAAGTAAGCAAATAAACAATGATTTAAATAAATTACATAATTCTTATTAATACATTTAATTTAAATCCGAAGACACTTTATATCATAACATGTAGCAGCTGGATTTATTCTGGACCGAGCCAGTGCTTTTGCTAGTTTAGCATTTTCTATTCACTGCGCGCTCGATGGCGTAGGCTCATTTTGCATATTTATTTTATGCAACATGCGTTCAATGGGGTTTATGCAAGTTTCTATAAATTGAATCGATTTAACATTTAATTATTTATTTTGCTAATGTCTCTTTTTTCTTGCCTTCTTGTGTATGCCAAAAAAAAGCTTTTAAATTCATCCTGTTCACAATTTGCTCTCCATAGTTTTCTTAACTGTGTGCATCCAATCAGGGCGTGCCAGCATGGGTGCACTTTCAAAGATACTTGAATGTGTTGATTTATGTTGCTTATTTTTCCACAGAATTATAGAAGTATTCCAATGTTTAGGCTTTTGAGTCTTTATATTCCTTTTTTTATTTGTTATTTTTGCTGAATTTCTTAAGCACATTGTTCTACTTGACTTACACCGAACACGTTTTAGACAATGCATGCAATGCTTACATTGAGTTAAACATTTAAAATGGAATATACAAACTTGTTTACATGAAGTAGGAACCATTTGGTATATTTAGAAACTTAGATATGTTAGCTACAAGTTTAAATATGGTGGTTTGGTCATTCCATGCACAAACTGGCATCATTTGAAAAGTGATGGCCACAAAAACGTTTTAATTCAATGTTTTTGTAGACTGCTTTTTTTTTATGCACAGCATCTTTTAAACCCTGATTAAAAGGTCACCTGTTTTTTGTAATTGTTTCAATAATAAAAGGGAAAATGTTTTGAAATTAAACCTTTTTTTTTTTTTTGTAAAATGTAATAACTGTCCTGTACTATGATGACATTACTACTTTATCTTACTCTTACAATCACATGTGTTTTATATCAACAAACAAAACCTTTTCCTCCCATTATCACAGAAAAACACTATGGCAGTAGAACAATATGATGTCATATAAACGGCAGGTTAAATAACACGAAAAAGATTTACAACACATGTCTTCATTATAGTTACACAAATAAGATTAGATAAGGGAGTGTTTTGAGATAATTCTTGTGTTCTTAACCTGGTATACAGACCTGAACAATTTCATATATAGATATCCTTTTTTTAACATTAGATAAAATGTCTCCACCACATATTTAGTTTCACGGCTAAGCAGCAGAGGGCAGTACTGACCATTTTCAATCCTTGGATGTCAGTGTTTTAAGGTGACATCCATGTATTTAAGCCAGACATTACATTATAGCAATGTTCAAAGAAGGGTTTGTGATTGTTAAAGCCAACACATAAACAAAAAGCCTGGATCAGTTAAATACGTTTTTTCTTCTTTTGCAGATTGTTTACTTGTTGGAATGGTATTTTAAAATAAGAAAAAAAAAAATCTGAGTTGTGATCACAGAGCTTGCTTTTCTGTCGCTGCAGTGCACACTGGCATGTTAAGGCTGTGGGTGTTAACGGTTCAAAGTCAAGGTTGCTTGAAAATATGTGAGAAATTCAGGGGTAAAGGAGGAAATAATGTTTGACCACCGAAAGAGCTGCAATCTATAAAGGGTGGATATTTACATTTTAAAGAACCACAACCCAGATCCCTCTTTTAGAATAAGTACTGTGGGACTAATAAAGGATTTCTGATTTTGATTTCTGAAGTAGGCTAAACATAGCAAATCAACAACACACATTCAGCAATTCCTGGGTAAGATGAATCGGCCTTGACACCTGCGGCCGCGGCAGTCTAAATGATTGCTGTCGAAAAAAAGTATTATTATTCAAAATGTTCCTGCAGGTAAGTTTTATAAAATACATCTAAGATCTCCTAGATCTTAAAAGATTAAATTTAAAAGGATTTAATAAATGTTGTTTGTATCATGCAGAGTGTCAACATCTTCACTTCAGGATGCTTACACTTGAGTGTGTTGATTTGGCAGATAAAGTGAGCAAAAGTGAAAGAGAAGTTCTGTCTTTTGAAAATTGAGTTATGATCTTGTGTTGTTCGTAAATTGTGGGTTGTTTTTCCTTGTGCGCTGCAAAGGTCTGGGGACAGAAGGTGTCGCCGGGGCCGCCCCTCCCTACACGCAGATCACGCAGAGTGCGTAGGGCCTCAAGTTGGCCAGGGGCAGCCCTGGGTGTCGTATGCTGCACAGTCTTTAAAGCCCCTAAGACAAAGTAATGTGAGATATTGAGCAATATACACAACACTTGGTTGACTTGTTAAATGACTTCTGTAGAATTTCAGAACTACTTGACAACACCTATCATCAAATTATGAGTCAGCGCCATGATGTAAGTTACTTTAGTTTAGACAGAGTTTTTTCCCGCAGCACAGCAGTTAACATAAACTGTATTGACAACATGTTCACTATCAGCCAAAATAAGAGTCCCCTTTCAGTGTTGTTAACGCATCTATCGACCCACTTAATCACATTGTTAGAACTATCTGAATCTCTAGCAACTGTTTCTGAATAACATTGTCCGACTCCATGAATTATACACTTCCTTTTGACATTGTTAATGTGCATCAGAGAATATTGTACAAATCTTGTTTCATTTATCACACTGGTCTAGTCAAAGTTAACAGATCAAAACTTAAAGCCACTATACGTGTGTAGTATTCAAAATACTAAAAGCGGTTGCATCAAAAAAGACAATGTGTTGGACATGTATAACCCCATCCCCCAACCATAGTTTAATGAATGGGCTCAAAGAAACACATTTTCCTTCTGGATTTTTGTTAAAGGACAAATCGTTTGAAAAATGCTTTAATATCTTATCTTGTACATATCTTGTATAATATCAACGTTCACACATGGCCTTAAAAGCATAATACATACAGAAAATAATCAAGTTTACAAGAGCAGCATTAGTAATACAGTGAGTATACTTGTCAAAAACAATGTGTGTGTGTGTGTGTGTGTGTGTGTGTGTGTGTGTGTGTGTGTGTGTGTGTGTGTGTGTGTGTGTGTGTACGGTATATGTTGTTACACACAGTGACAGCTCAGAACGACAGGTCTTAACAGGTTCATGTTAACAGGCCTGTTTATCTGATTGGAAAGCATCACATTGACCTAGTTGTTGACCTCCGCAGAGACGTAAACTCTTGCCTTCTGGTTCCCTTGTAAACAGTGATCCTTTCACCCTGTCCCACCTTACCCGCTCACCCTCATAACCTTCTCACTGATTCACACATGTGCAGCTGTATCTGCCGAGTGACAGAAGATCAATGTTCACAAACAAAAAATGGCCTCCCACCACTGATGGTTATAGCCTTGATACAAACGAGCACAGAGAGAAAGTTGGATGCTATTTCTGTAAAGAAGTGGATTTTAATCCTTCCACCTAGTACAGTAATGCACGTACCTCATTATGAATTTAAATCAGGGCTCACCATATGCTGTTACGTTTCTTGATTACTCTCCTGTCTCCGTTTGTCTAAAAGTTTAATGATGTGCTTGGGTTTTTTATGCCTTCTCCTTCAACAGCTGTAAAATGACGTGTCAGAGATAAACTGTAAATTAAGCTGTTAAGTGATATAATTATATACAGTATATCCTATTAACATTTATATATGTATTAGTTACATACAGTACTTATTGTGTAACAGCAGTTCTGTCTCAACATGTGTCTTCAAGTCAAATGTCATTCATATTAAAGGGTAACACTGGTCAGCTTATGATGCTATATTGGCATTCCAACTTGGTCACAAACAATTGTGGAGAAAGGTAAAAAAAAAAAATTAAAACCTGCTTGCAGTGATACATGTACAGTAGAGGAACATTTTAGGGTTTAAATGAATATCACCAACATAAAATTAAGCTTAGTGGATGGAGGAGCTCCAACAATCCTTAGATTCACCGTCCTGCAGTTATTTAGCTACTAATATGTGGGACCACTCTTTTTCACCATCGTCCATTTCGAATATTATTCGTTATAAGTTTTCTTCTGGCATGGATGCTTTTTTAAACTACCGCTATTAGCTGGTATTAGTCAGCTAATTGTTTCAATCAAATGTCCCTAGTACGTAAAAAAAAAAAGGGTATACTTCACATGGGCTGGTTTACACCAAACTTCTGTAAGGGTCATGAGGATAATTAGTTATTTTGCAACCAATAATAGCGTGGCCAAACCAAACCAACTTCATCAGGCAGAAGTTCCTGGGTTGTAATTCCAAGTAGGTCAAATTTATATTTTTGGTCATCTTTGCAGCCAGCATACAGTAAATCTTGTGCCCATGGTCCATCCCAAACCAAGACGCTAGTTGTGCAAACCTCCTACTTGCCCACCAGTGGTTTACCAGATTCCTGAATACCTTAGTTCCTCTGTATTACATTTTCTGTCCTTAAGGCCACATATCTAAATGACTGAATATATCACACAATACAATGCTTAACTATTTGAAATGATTCACATTTAAAAGGCCATGAGTTTTAATTAAGGTCAAAAATACAATAAAGTATACACTACTTTTGTACCGCATCTGCTACAGATATAGACTTACTGATTAAAGTTCAACAGGTTGGTGTTGAAGCCCCTTATCTCATTCAATATTCAGCCAGTGGAGAAATAAACAATCAGCCTTATATAGGATATAGGATGTTTATGTTGTATCCACGGTGATTTGACGTCCTGCCCTCTCAGAGTTTGTTGGATGGAGGTAATCAGTCAGTCCATGATGGAGTTTCCTCAACTCTTTCATCCCTCTGACATCCTGTGATACCATTCAGGCCATTTTGACCAGTAGTCCCTCGAGCATGAAAGTAAAGTATTTTCCATGTGTGAACCAGTGGTGTGAAACCTAACAGTGGCACAGCAATCCAATTAGTTTCCAAGATTCACACATCATCATCATCATCATCGTCATTCTGCCTCAGCCTCCTCTCACGTCCTCTCTGGCTCCCTCTTTGAGGAAGCCGACCCACTGGATCCTGACAAAGCATGTACTGTGTCCAGATTTTCCTGAACGCTGTGCGGAATTTCTTGATGCGGAAAGCGTACACGATTGGGTTGACCGCAGAGTTGCCATGGGTTAGGATGATGGCGATGTAAATGAAGGAAATGGGCTTATCACAGGCAGGGCAAAAGAGGGTGATGCAGTTGAGGATGTGAAGAGGGAGCCAGCTGACTGCAAAGAGGAACAGAACGAGTGCGAGCGACTTGGCTAGCTTCAGCTCCTTCCCGAAGTAGCGGCTAGGGTCTGTGTGGCTCGCTGTCACCTACAGAGAGATAAAGAAGAATATCATCAGCGAACACGTTTAACTTTACATTAACCAGTTCACAGTAAGTCTGTTTAAATACTATTCTAAGGTCCCCTATTATACTGTTTTTCATTACTTTATAATAGGTCTCAGATATATACAAAACATGTCTCTGAAGTGCCTCGAAATACCAAACAGATCATGCATTGCAGCATCCCATAATCCCCTCTGTTTCAGCCCTGTTTCCAAAGTGCTGATTCTCTGTCTGTTACTTTAGATGAAAATAAGGAGCCCCTCCCCACACGCCCCTCTGAGAGATATTTGGTTAAAAAGAAGAACACAATGGTGCTCTAGGAGGAGATTCAGGTGATAAGGTGGGGGGGGGGGTTACCTTGGTTGGTGATTGACTAATGGTTACACAAGCCAAACACTCGTTATGATCTTAAAGTGGCCAAAATCTGATCAGCTTATCTTCAGACAGGTTTTTATGAAAATGGATCAGGAGAAAAAGTGAGTGAATCTTTGTTCCTGAAACTTCCCGAATCTCTTTACACAGAGGGGACACATGTTTATGTATAAAAGACATGAACAAGTGGATTTTGCATAATAGGTGACCTTTAATTTGAAGACACAAGAAAGAGGACTACCTCACCTTCTTGTTGAGATGCTTGTGGATCATGTAAAAAATCTCGATGTAGATAGCGAGCATGAGGAGCAAAGGCGGCAGCACCCAGCCAAAGAAGTTGAAGTAGACCATGTAGTCCATGCTGATGACCGTCTCAAACTCACAGGTCACCAGGAGGTCATCAGTGAGCAGGGAGCCATTGTCACGGAGAAACTGCAGGTTATTCCAACCCAACATGGGCGTGAGGCCCACTATGATGGACACCAGCCAACACAGTAACACGGCCATGCCAGCTCGACGAGGAGTCACCACCCGCTTGTAACTATGGCGACAAGGGAGAAGATCTTGTTTTTAATTAAATCCAATAAAAGATATTAATTACTACAAATTATTTACAATAATTCATTTTGTGAAGCTTATAGTGCTAGTGATACGAACTTGAGGCTGTTGTTCATACCCTTTAAGTGAACTCTAACTTTAAATGAATCCACTCTTGCTAAAAAAAGAAGCGGAAAAGGGTGTTATTTATTTTCCATTTAACCGTTAGTACAAATTCATTAACTGTGTCAATGTAAGTCAAGTGGCTAACTTTCAACTGCAGTCCTTGGTGGAGATGTTTCTAAACAAGTAAGGCAATGGTTGATTCTTAGAGAATAAGAAAACAAGATACCATAAAGACATCAACATTCCTTCAAAACTTGCAATTTGTTTTCCTCTCATATCTCCACAACTTATAAAGGATCAGAAAACACTTTATAATTTTGGGTAAGTGTGGGATGCATTTAACAACAAAAAAACAATACTAAACCATTCATTTACAACTCTCAAATAATTCTTGCAGTATAACCCAAATCGTAATAATCCATCTGAATGTTGACTTCCCAAACATATCGATATTTGCTCAAACTTAGCATTTGAAAAACAACCCATAAACAGTCCAACACTGCCTTGCAAGTCCTGACAAGTACAAATTCTAATATGAGTTGCAAGTGTTTGGGAAATAGTGAACATAAGATTAATCCATGTTTTAAAAATAATGTTCATTGTGGAGGTAGTGAGGAAAAACAATGTTTTCTTCAAGAATTTAAGGTCACACAGGGTGAGTGGGTGAAGTGGTTCCTCAACACTGTAGTTTGTAGATTTGTTGGACTGACATATATTGTAGTATTCCAGTTACTTTTTTTCATTTTCATTCCAAGTAATTCATTATGTCTGGCAAGCATGCAACATAGTTTAAGTTTGATCTTCTTTCTCAGGAAATCACTGATTGACAAAGATAAAAGTCAAGCTGACGCAACCACCTGCAGTTCTTTGTAATTGTAATAGGATGACCCTCATCCTGTCTCTCCCACACAAAGGTCTGCTATTGGACAGGTCTGTGAATCAGTCATTGTTGAACGGACATTATTTTGGTAGACAACGTTCCTCACTTTTGTAATTTAACCCCGATTTCTAAGAGTCAGACCTTACTCAATCAAAAGGCATGACTCAGATATGTTGCTCTCACTCTTTTGCACGAGGCACATTTCTCTTCCTATCAAGCCTGCTCCCTGCCTAACTTCACTAATGCTAACAAAGAAACCCACTGAGAAATGTGCCAGAGCCAAACTGTCCCCCTCATTTACTGTCTCTCAGTTGCCCTCGCCTTTCACTCTCTGTCACATAAAGCACACTCACTCAGGAGCTCAGCCAGGGTGAGTCAGACACAACACAGGACGTGTGAAAGAATACTCAAAAGGTTTTGTAAAAAGAGTCAGGGATAGGTATTCCCATATGTGACGACAGGTTTTTATTTTGTTTGTATATAACTCTCTGTCGCTGCCTGTAAAGCTTGGCTGTCTGTCTGCATACAGATCAGCTGTCTGTGTGCCATAAAAAATAATCACTTACTGCACTCCGCTGTCCTCCATTTATCTATACCTTCCTGTGAGATTTTCATTCACGTCTACCACCTGCTAAATCAAATCCTCCAGCTAAGGACACTAGCAATGCTAGGGACATTTTAAAATGTCAGGCACACCACTCTTATCAAGAGAGTGTGCTTCCATACCACCTCCGCTATAAAAAGCAATCAGTGGCTGTTAAACTGTGTGCCAGTAGAGTCCCAGGGGAGGTTAGGGGAGGGGGACTATATTTCTGACACAATAAAATTCAGCATGAGACAGTAAATACAATACACTCTAAAATCTGATCATGACCAGATGTGAGTATATGGCCAAAATGAACCAGCTGTGAATGGAAATACATTTTCTCAGATTAAGTGGCTCTATAAAAAGTGATTGCTTTGTTGGGAAGCACACTTTTCAATCCTGAGGTTGAGGACAATATTTATAAGTGTTACAATATATTTGTTACATGATACACATCTAAAACAAATATCCAGTTTTGAATTGATAAACTGTGAGATATATCTATCCATTACCTCCTTCTGTCACTACATCCAATGTGTCATGTGAAGTGCTGAGAAACCCTGCAGGGAACTGATAATGAAAACAATCAAGCCAATAATATTGAGATCATACACTATACACAATAATCCCTGTTTAGTTTTGCTGCAACCTGTGTAAATGTCCTCTGAGTGATAGTTCAGCAGCGTGGGTGCATGTTTCTATGTGTGTGTTGGTTGCCAGCTTGAAAAATTACGCAATCCTTCAACCAGCCACCATGAGCCGGTAGACCAATCATGCATCCTCTGCTAGATTCAGTCCCCAATTAGCCAACTTGAAGTGGAAACTTGAGTTTTCGATAAAATTATGGGCAAGGAAACAGGACTGATGATAACAGTATGATGAGCCCTCACTCACAATTTCAAAATCTCTGTTACCCTGAAACGGAGATGTCAATTTACCATTAAGTTAGTGATTAACAAACCAAAAAAGATCATAAGGACTAAATACATACATCTAACATTGATGACCTCCACATGGTGCTTGTACATATTTAGGTCAGGCTGGAAAACCGCTGTTCCCCCATATATTTGAAATATGTCAGCTTTAAACATATCAAATGGGCCTGGATTATCTTTGGATCCTGAGGATAATAATGTTGTTCCAATCTCGATATATATTTAAAATGTAAAATAATAAGTAAATAAAATCAGTGTTCTTTTTGTGCAACAAGATAATCCGATTTCATCCATCTATCAGGCTAACTGCCATCCCGGGTATTTATTAAATTACCGGAAAAATAGAAGAAAACAAATCTAACCATCTAGCGTGTTTTATTCTTTGAGAGACATTTAATTTTCAAACTATCTGTGTTACTTAATTATATTTGGGGAAGAGGATAGTTAATATAAGATTAGTTTGATATATATCTTTGGTTCCAGTCTACAGCTTGTATCTGGGATACAGTTTTGTGTTGGGCATATATACACATTACACACAAATAAAATGATGAATGAATACATTTTTAAATAAATTGAACTTGTGATAAAAACTCTGCCTTGAACACCATGCATGCCACTGACACACTGTCATTTCAGAGACAACAAACAGGTCAATGTACCCCTGTAATAAGGTAACAGTAAAATAATTAAAATCATCAGACACACCTTTACACTAGGCAACATTACAGTCTATATCTGGCTGCAGCTGGAATGGAAACCTTGGATGGCCACTCTGCTGGGTGCCCTTGGTCTGAGCAGCGAACCAGACACAAAGGCATCTGTAAATCAGACAATATATTGTAAACTAGAAGAATCGAGAAGAATTCACCTTTAGGCCTACCTCATGGGTATTTTGACTCTCAGATACCGGTCGATGGCGATGGCCAGGAGCGCCAGTATTGAACTTTGAGTGAGGACGAGCACTGTGCAGGCGACCAGCAGGCAACTGTAGAAGTGCGTCTGGAGTCCGATGCTGATGGTTATGGCGAGGGGGATGACAAGAGCCCCGACCGCAATGTCAGCCAAGGCCAGGGAAACGATGAAACAGAACGTGGTGTCTCTCAGAGACCGGTTAATACGCACAGCCCAGACCACCATCACGTTACCGATGACAGACAACAAGGCGATCACCACCTCCATCCCGATGTAGAGAGCTTTATGGGAAGGCAGAGCCATGTTCACGGATGCTGCTGCCAGAGTGCACTCAGCAGAGAAACAACACAGCGAGGGAGTTCCCTGCGAGAGTTTGTGGGCACCGACTGAGACAGCCTGACTTAGGTTTGTTTTACATCCCGAGTACGACAGAGGTAGAGGTAGTCTCTGCTGCTCTGAATTATTCCAGGTTCCGCTCCATGACATCGAGCTGCGCGCAAGACGCACAACTTGGTCTCCATGCGGTCGGAGGCGTCAATTCCGATAATGAAGTGCACCCTGCCGTCCTGCTGGAGGGGTTGGCTAGACGGGACCCAGGATCTCAAATGAGTCAAGATCCCAATGTCAGGCGATGTTTGAAGTGTCTACTGTGAAACTGGTGGTTTATTTGACCGTTTAAACTGAGTCATATAAGCTCATGCACCGGGGTTCAAGTTTACGCAAGTGTTTATTTTCCTCAGGGTATTTTCTTTATTTTGGAGTTACAGGTTATATAAGCAAATGTCAACCAGGAAATTCCTATTATTTAACACACCTCTCATCTTCTTTCTGCATAGTCACATGAGTGAATGAAGACTCGCCCCGTGGGAGTGGACTCAATGAAAGGGAGTAAATCAAACATGAATTAATATGAGGTCATTGTCAGAGATGATCACTAATTTAGTGGACTGCAAATCAAAAGTAAAAAATCCACTAATTTAAATGTTGGGGTTCCTAGTGTTAATTATAAAGAGGGTTAAACCGCCTTTGTACACACACACATATATATATATATATATTTCCCTGATTCTTTTCTTATGTGACTGTAGGCTAAAGTGTGTGGGGGAGCCTGTGAAGCTTTGACACTGTGGTGAGGATGTAAAGACAGGAATCTGAATAAAGACAAATTACCAAATGCTTTGTGTCGGAGAGAGACCATAAAACAATACTGGACAACATCAGCTTGTATCAGTGAGTAACAGCCGGACTCAGCTGCAAGACAGATGCACACACACAAACCTATATACATGCAAATGAGACTCATAAACAAGCTGTATAAAGGCATGATTTTGCATACAGATAGGAAGCATAAAGACATGTTAAGACAAATACAGTGTATGCCTATCTGCTTTGCATTTTATTCCAAATGGGTCCGCAGCCTTTGCAAAACTTTATAGTCAAACTTCTTCACCCGGATGGGAAAAATACAGGCTCAACACTCGACCTGCTAGAGATGGAAAATGGTCCACGTCAAGGCCCCTGTCTGTCACCTTGACTACAGCGAAGGTCTGAGAATGATTTATGACTGTCATCTATCTTTCACTTGTGTGAAACTCTTCTCTGCCTTCCATCAGGTCTGCAAGATTATTTCCACTCTATCCAAACCAGGGATGCTCGACTCATGGAAACCTGAACCAAATGCAGTTTTTATTTAAAAAACATGTTCTTAGCAACCTCTAGCTGATGAGTTAATATTACAATTATTTCCTGGGATGAAGGAAATTCCACAAAAACAAATGGGTAATCGTATGGATTTTTGAAGTAAGAATGTAAACTTTTTGTTAAAATTGTAATCCCCTCATATTGTAAGACCTGACATAATGTAGATATGTGTGTGATCTAGTGATCTAGTTCTCTAATAAGGTCAGGCTATTGACATTTAGATGATGAGTGTTTGTCTTGCTTTAAATCATGTGATTATGATAATAAACGTTTTCTCTTTACTTCTGCACATTAATGAAGCCCTTTTTGGGGGTAACTAGTTTCCTAGTGTAATTTTTAATGAAGCTACTGATCTTGAAACATATAGGCCACATTACAGCTCTCATAACACAACAGTAAACTTTACAAAACATCATGTTATTAATTACGTAACAACAATAATGTCAATATTTCAAAAGATCAAGTGTCTGACAGGAGTGCTGTCTCCCTTCGATACCGAATACACAATTATTTGACATTAACGAAAGTTTGAAACTCTTGTATGAATCTATATTTGCTTTAATAATGGACAAATGTGTGAGGACAGGTAATAATCCTGTTTGGGATTATACTTATTTTGTATTTATAGTCTATTGGTTGATTGGGTTTCTCCATCTTTGTATTTCATTCAATTATGTGTGACAGGCTTTTCGATGCAGTTAAAATAACTGAATCATAGCGTAATATTGCTCCAGGTCTTCAGGGCAGATTTGGGTGGTCTGTCTCAGGTATCAGTGGTCAACATCGCTATGACTCTTCTACAGTACTGAGGTTTTATATGTAGATTGCTATATGAATGGCTTATTATATTGCTACAAAAGCATAAATATTGTCTTCCTGCCTTCACTCCTCATTGCATCATCCCATTTCTGAAGAATACCAGTGTCGGACAAAGGGTGTGTGTGTGTGTGTGTGTGTGTGTGTGTGTGTGTGTGTGTGCACAAATGGAGAGATAGTGTTGAACTTCTGTTCAAGGCATTACCTCTGCAGTGTTGTAATATCATATCTCCCTGGAATAACCACATGTTTATGATGCATGACAACGATTTGTTTTTATGTGATTCAGCGAGCCTGTCTAAACAGCAGAAATCTCAAACTCTCTCATAAAGCAGGCTCCTCTAAGGAACAATTCCTCACTCAATGCCACACAATTCTTTTTATAAGAGGAGCCATGGGAGAAATACCAAGTTTTTAAAATAAATGATTTCCTCCCATAATGTTTGTGTACAAGAAGATTGCATGGGGAGTCCAAACAGAGACAGGGATCAGCAGGAGTGTCACGCAGTATCTGGACTGTACTTTAATTGAGACAGAATGTGACAAGGACTATTTTTCACAAGAGCAAGAGATGGTGTGTTTAGAAAGGTTTAGTTCAGTCTTTTCCAGGGAGAGAGTAAAGTTGCAATTCAGTACATGTTCCTACTTCATATCATTTACTTTGATTTAAGTCAAAGCAACTGGGCCATTGTCATGCAGAGGTAAAAAGAAACTGCAATGCACCATATCTGGACATTTAAAAGTGTATTATGTATTGTGGAATCATGTAGTTTGGTGTAGCATTACCCTACCAAACAAAGTGGGGCACTCACACTGTACACTGAACAGTAACATAGAGGGGGATTTAATTGGACTGAAGCTGATATGAGTTGAATGCACTGTATGAAGGCCCAGCAGATCAATGCAATGAAACTAATAAAGCCAAGATTGTGTAATAGCCTCATAACATTGCATTACTGAATCCGTAATACTGCGTTCCAATTGAAACTCATTACATTTATTCCACATGTTGCAATCAGACTTTTGTTTACGACTTAATTATTGCCCATGAGTTCAAAGGAGACAAAAACTATGGTGAAACAAGAACAAGAGTCCATTGTTAGTGCTGTTAATAATCAGACAAATCTATGCTCCTATTACTGTGCACTATGTGTATACAATATGCATACACCTGTCAGAACGTCAAAAGAACTGATCAAAACTGAATCACCCAAATATTATCACTTTCTGATATAGACTGAAGAGTTGCTTCACCCAGCACGGCCACCTGGTTATTCAAGGGGAAAAGTCTAAAAAGAGTATCATCTTTTCTTTGTAACTTGCTACAGTTTATTATTTGAAATAGCCAAGTTTTTAGCACCTGTTTTCGATACACTGCACATCAGTAATTTATCTGAAAGCAACCATTCCTCTCTTGGGTTTCTAAGAAATGAACCTTCCCAGGCCTGCTGGGTGTATGCCAGCTTGTGTTGAGGTCCATTGTGTTGAAACTGTGCGGCAGCTGCTGAAGCATGATCATTTAGAGAGTGAACGTGCAGCTCCTCATCAACACTCTCCAGCCCTGCATCAATGAAGGGAATTGTTCAGACACATGACTTCAATTACGTGCACTTCATTTGCTGCAGGGTGCAACTAAGTATGAGAAACAACCGGTCATCTCAGAAACGACTAAAATTGGTAATAAGCTTTCAAATATTGCAGTCTGTGAAGGTAAGATGAAATACAAACATCTAATTTGCCTCTCTGACCAGCAGCTGCTTATGGAGAATGCTGAGAAAGCTGCATTCATTCTTTGCAACGCTGAAGAACCGCACCAAAAAAATACTTCCTGTTTTCAATTACAATTGTGTTAACAATCCACAGAGTTTCTAGAAACTATTCACAGTCAAACCCCTCCCACGAAACACTGAATCATCTTGACTGCATATTTTTCGGTGCTAAAAAGTATGAAGTGAATCTAATGCTCAGTTTCTTTTTAATGAAGCAACTTGCAATATAATCCTAATGTCAAAAAAAAATGTAATATTAAAAAATATTAATCACCCTGAAGTGCATAATGAGAATATATGAATGCTCTCTGGATGTTTGTTTGTGTGCATTTAAAAATATATTTTTGGTTATGTGGATTTGATGCAATTCATTGTTTGAGGAACTGCTGGGATTTGGGAGTCAGACCCTGTTTTCTTTACATATGATTTATTTAATGTTCATTGATTTCAAGTAAGTTACAACATAGAAATACATAAATGTTCAAAAGACAATTTGTTTCTCTCTTGTAAACTGCAGTAAGCAAGGGACCAACATCAACATTGTATTTTGTGAGATTCAGCTGCATACTAGCATGGACTTTGTGAACATGAGAAATGTCCAGATGTGTTCTACATTAGCCTGTATGAGACACTTTTGCTAGATTTACTAAAACGCCCCAAAATATACTAGCGCTCTTGCGACTGTCCAGTGGTGGACTGAGAGGCAGACATTAAAAATTATTAACACTTAATTAAGTGTTTACTTCAATGTAAACACTTAATTAAGTAGGCAGTATGCAGTGCATACACATTGATGATGTAGTATGCAGAATATGTGAGTATGCACATTCTAACAGAACCCTTATCAAACTTTAAAAACAACATCTTCCTGTGAGACTTATTGCCTCTTCAGGCATAAAAACACTGTTTATGTAATGGGTCAAAGTTGAATGGAAAAGTGCCCAAAACTACACATCAAACACATGTCTCTCAGGATCATCATGGCATGGCTCCAGTCCGTACTGTTTGTTCCCCTGGCATCTCCCATGTGTGCTGCATCAGTAGGTAACCATCCAGATTCTGTGTGCCTCCAGTAATTCCTCCCCTGTTTTCCTGCAACTATAAAAGCACATACTAGTCATACCAGATGCTCTCTTTATCTTTTTATCTTTTTATCCAGGTGTTGTTCCTCAAAAATCAATATGTTAACCTTTTCCCTTTTCGTATCTTTTAGTAATCGTCTCTCTGCATACATTTTCCATGAAAACAGAGATTGCCAGTTCTTTCAGATACAAACTGAAAGTATTTACTTTCACTTGTTTGATATGAAGAAATCAAAAATATGTTTTTTTTTTTAAATCCTGTTACGAAAAATGGTCAAAGGAAGATTGTGACACAATTCCCTTCCAAAATCATAATCTAATCAAGCCAGATATCAGAACAGTTAGACAATTGTA